TGAACAAAGGTAGAGAGATAATCTAATGTGCTATAATTAGAAATACGTTTTATCTTTATCCCTGGTTCCAGGCACAGGGCTCCTAAAACCCTTGGAATTTCCTGAGTGATAGGAGTGTCTTTTGTTATTCATAGCAACCCCGTTTGATCACTGAGGTAACTTAGGGTGGGGGACGCTAAAGAACTTCAGAATGGGGCTGGTCACCAGAAGGAACAAGTGATTAGAGGGTTGGAACTTTCAGTCCAACCCACTGACCTCTGGGAAGGAGGTGGGGGAGGGCAGGATGGGTATTAAGCTCTATGAAAACTCTTGAACATCAATGTTTGATGAGCTCCTGGGCTGGTGGGTGTGTGGAGGTGCTGGGAGGGTGGCACACTTGGAGAGGGCATAGAAGTTCCATGCCCCTTACTCTGTACCCTGACCCATGCACCTTTTCATCTGGCTATTCATCTGTATCCTTTATAATATCCTCTGTAACAAACTGGTAAATGTAAGTAAAGTATTTCCCTGAGTTCTGTGTGCCACCCAAACAAATTATTGAATTTGAGGAGGGAGGTTGTGAGAAACCTGATTTATAGCAGTCAGAAACACAGGTCACAACCCGGAACTTAACAATTGGTGTCTGAAGTGGGGGCAGTCTTGTGGGACTGAGCCCTCAACCTGTGGGATCTGGCACTATCTCCAGGTAGACAGTGTCAGAATTGAATTGAATTATAGGACACTCAGTTGGTGTCCACTGGAAAACTGTTGTATGTGGGGAAAAATCCCTACACATCTGGTCACAGAAGTGTTCTGGGTAAGAGTATAGTAGAAGAAAACAGTTTGCTGTCTTGGCTTGAAAACAGTTTGTTCTGGCTTAAAAACAGAAATGACAGGATTCCCCAGGGTCATCTCATATACCTTTCAACTCTGGAAAATTCTAACTCTGGCCTTGCTCTAAGAAAATTGGCAGTGTTCTTTTGTCACCAAGATTTTTTCAGACTGTGTTCCATGTAACTTGGAAAGGTTTATGCATTACTCGTGAAAAAGTTCCTATCAACCGATAAGTTTGAAAAACACTGGAATTCTCAGAGCAGTAATATTCAAAAATAATTTTTTGTAGTGATAGAAACGTCCTATATAACAACACCAAGGCCCAGGGTTTGATGCCTGTACTGACCGGCTGCCACACACACACACAAAATAAGTTCTATATATTGCTATTGAGCACTTGAAATGGGGATAGTGCAACCGAAGAACAATATTTTTAAAATTTATTTTAAATTTTAATCAATTTAAATAGTCACATGTGGCTAGCCACTGCCATATAGAATAATTATAGCTTTAGTGCCTTACTATTTGAAAGTGCATTGTGAACTTTGAAGACTGGAATAGACATACAATAGTTTTCAAGCTTATCTGGCCATAGAACATTAAAAAATAATTACGTCACATGACTAATATTCGGAAGAATGCACTTTAAATATGTACTAGGACAGAAAGCAAATGTAATTGCTTCCCTTCTTCCTACTCCATTCTAGGCTTGGCTGATAATGTCACAGTTCAGGATCTTGGTATGTTCCTGGAGCAGGTGCAGTGCAAGGGAGCGACTTAGTACAAAGTGAGAGTCATGTAGGTTGCAGCTGAAAATTTAAGATTCCTTTTTGGGTATGCCTTGGATTAGAAACCCTTACAGTATAGGGTGGCTGCTTGTTTTGTTTTTTCATAATTAGGATATTGA